CCGAATTTTTAAAGGGGGTTATATTCAGCTTTTTTTTTTTTGTCTTGTGGACTATATGTAAACATCTTTTATGTAAAATATCTTACTCAGGACAGTACTAAATAAAAAATAACATGCAGTTTGTATGATCTCTCTTATTTTGCTAAAATTATTCACATTTTCACAAATTCTGCAAGGGGTTCCCAAACTTTCGCATGCCACTGTACTTCATCATCATATAACCAACTTTTGGTTTTCAATACTTCAATTTTGTGTTCATAGTGGTTCAGGATTGAAATAGCCCTAAACAAAGAGTATGTGCTTACCTTTCTGGGTACTGTCATCATAATAGGCTCACACTTTCTTTCATGGAGTTTATATAATCTATGAGAAATAATAAAGGTTCAGCCTCAGGAATGCTCAACCCTCAATGCTCAAAGCTTAAAAGAACAGTATTTCTTTTAAATATAAATCTTTTGTAACATTACAAATATCTTTACTGTCACTTTTCATCAATTTAATGTGTCCCTGCTGAATAAAAGTATAAATCACTGACCCCAAACTTTTGAATGGTAGTGTAGATATATGGTATTTCTGTACACTGTACATTTTAAAGTAACTAACACATATCCAAATCAACCAGTATAACCATGCAAAACTGACCTGGCAATCTCACACTTGCTGACGTCCACTCCTCTCTTGGGCATGAAGCCCATTCCTCTCTGTGGCTCCTTGCTACTGAATGTGCTGATGTAATGCACATAGGGAGGCTCCTCTGTGATCTCAAAATACCGAACACTGCTGTCACCCTGTGGAGACACAGAAACAACTTTACAGTGCCAGCCTGAGTATGATAACAAATGAAGATGAAACATGAAGTCATACCTTGCCACTGAGATACACGATGTTAGTGTCTGGATCATAAAAAGGCAATAAAACTCCATTACTTGTGTCCAGCTCCAGTAGTGCTATGGGCTCTTCAAAATTAGTCTAAACAATGACAGAAATGAACACCATCAGTGATTTGAAAGAAAACAAGGGCAATGAAATAAAACTGATCAAGATACAGAAAAAATCAATAGAATAAAATTAATTATTAATGAGTCTTAAATGCATAAATGAAAATTATGTCACCATTTAATCACCCTTATATTGTTCCAAACCCATAAAACTTCGGCTAATCGAGTCACAAAGGAAGGTATTTCAGTGAAACCTGAGAGGTTTCTTTCTGTCCACTGAAAGTCCAGGTAACCAATACTTAGAATATCCAATAAGGTCACAAAGGCATCATAAAAAAAGAATCATTTTGAAGAGATATGATCACTTTATGTGATAAGCAGATTTCATTTAGACTTCTATTTACATCTAAGCAATGATTGGAACACATACATAGAGCAAGTCACATATGGTAAACATGAAAGCTCAAACATGTATGCATTACGCAGGAGAACCAATGAAGTTTGTTCTAGCGTGTGACACATACACGAGCTTCCATGTTTACCATGCGATGTGCTATATGTGTGTGTGTTTATATGTTAATAAAATCTTATAAAGCGAACATATCTCTTCCTAAGACTTGGATTAAACCACTCAATTCATACAGATTAATTTTACGATGACTTCATAATGTTTTTGAATTTTCTATAAGTTTTGGTTACCTGGACCTTCAATGGAGGGACAAAGAGTTCTCAGGTTTCACTACAAATATTTTAAATTGAATTGAAGATTAACCATAGCAAAATGGGTATGGAATAACATGAAGGTAAGTAAATATACTATCCTTTTCATTCTGCTCCATTACCGGATCCCACAGGCCAAGCTCTCTCTGGCTCATCCTGGTGAAACCTGTGGTGAAAATGTTGCCCTCTTTGGTAAAAATGGCTCTCATTGGCCGGATACCCTCATGTGGGGACAGTCTTTCCTACAGAAGAAAAAATGTCCATAATGTCCCTGTTTACAAAGAGCCGTGAGGTTTTTCTTCTTTTCTCTGCTATAATACTTACCGCCACCACCTCGTTTTTCCGGGGATCGCACACTCGGAGGCGACGGTCCTTGCAGGTTGTGCAGAACAGGCTACCGTTGTAGTTCCAGCTGACGTTATAGATGAGATCAGGATGGTCATCCATTGTAATCAAGGGTTCTCCAGTGCCCACATTCCAGATGATGATCAGATTATCACTGCCTGAGACAAAAGCAAACTGAATGGAAACAAAGACTTTCAACTGCTTCTAATTTAATTCCAATGAAATGAAGTAATCTTATTTTTATACACTTTTAATGTAAGAAGTTGGTGTCTACTGTACTGATCTTTACCTGCAGTGAGGAGTATGTTGCGGGCAGTGGGGTGCCATTTGATGATGCCCACGCGTTTAGAGTGACCCTCCAGCACCACAATGGGCTCGCTGATGGGACGAGAGGGAGTGTGGTCAGGGATCTGCCATACCTGAGTAAACACAATTCTATTAAAGCAATGGTTCTCAAACAGAGGGGCCTCAACAAACTTCCAAATATTTAATATTTTATTATAATTAATTGTAATAGTTTTTTAGATCATCCTGCAATCTGGATGACTTAAACATTTGTATATTTATTAACATAATTATTAAAAGTAATTAAAAAAACACATAAAAATAAATATTGTAAAGCCATACATACATGTTCATCTGCTTTAAGCATGTTAGAATGTAGAAAAATCCCGTACACTACTCAAACTTCATCAAGTCTGTGGAAGGTTGATTGACCACAATGTTGCTAATAACATTTTGTAATGATACTAGTTGTATTTATTGCAAATTCTTTTTGTTACAATTTTTCTGTAGTACCATAATAGAGTACTTAAACAAGACTAATCTATCAGCCTAGACTGAAAAACAACAGGTGTAGAAACAATTTTGCAGTCATCTTTGTTTTGTTTGCAACTTCAAACAATAATTTTTACAGTAAATGGATTAAACTATCTGGGTATACTTATATATTGGTTTGCAGTACATTGTAGGAAAGTTCCTTTGTAACCAGTGAGCACAGCAGCAATGCCAGCACAGATGACAGCTGCAGTTAAACTCTTCTAACAGCAGTGCATACGGTGCATGCCATTCACGTTTGTAATGTAATGTAATGAAATAGCACTAATAGCCTTCATATATTATAATATCTCTATATCGTCTTGCGTAACTTTGGGGAAATGCATCCTATATTTGTTTTCAATAGACTGTATAATACTTTCAGCATTTATACTCACATTTAAAACATCAAAACATAACAAAACATCAAACCAAGTAACTGCAAGCAAGCACTTGGTTACTTCTAAAGCTTTTCTCAGAAGCAACTTCACTTTTCTGAACCACTTTTGATCAGGTTCACACAGGTATTCTAAAAAGTGTAGTTTTATTTGTCTTAATTTTGAACAGTGACATACACTGGAAAAAAAAAACTTTTTTTGCTTAGAAATTGCTCATAAATTTCACAAATAATACAAAAAACTGCAAGTAACATTGAATCAAAAGTTAAATTTTAAAGTAGAAAGACTGAAATAGTATTTTCTTTTTACAGTGTATTGTTTTATCATTTTAATTTGAAATTCTTTTGTGTTACCTTTAAGATAAATGTAACTTTGATTTTATTTATTTATTTATTTTTATCTAATGTAATGACATTTATACACTTTTAAGTGTGGCTTAGGCGTCCAAATACTTCATGAGGTCACTGTATACAGAAGTGTTTGCACATGTTGCACATGTTCTGAAAATGAAATGACTCATCCCTATAGACAACTTAGACCCATCTTTCCTTGTCTGTCAATACCACTGGCTTATTTGTGAACAGGTTTCTGGCCAAGAGTGCCTTTCTAACATGTTTATAAATACCAGCTCCTGTCCCATGCCCGAACCGTTAACTCCAGTCATCACCCTTCATATTAACACTATTGTCTGTCACTGTGATCTTTCCCTCCAGTGTGAGTAGGTATATATGGAGACATGCTTCATTCGTTTGTAAAAATGCAACTGAAACATGTTCATGACTACAAGGCTATTGGCTGGCAGGCAATGGAGATGTTTATGAATGTCTGTCATGATGATTACCATGGCAGTGGTGTCTTCAGAGCAGCTGGCCAGGATATTGTCATTGTGAGGACACCAGTCAATGTCCAGAACAGGCCCTGAGTGTCCAATCACTAGAGGATAGTTTTTGTCCACTCGACCCACCTATAGCATATTAAAACAAGGAATAAAAGATAATGTTAAGTATTGAGACGCATATAAAGTCAGTATAATGGTCTTAATATAAACAATATTTTTCTTAGTCTGCATTTATTTGATCAAAAAAGTATAAAAAGTACTATTGTAAAATACTGAAATTTAAAAATGACTGCTTTCTATTTCAATATATTTTAAAATGTAATTTATTCCTGTAATGAGAAAGCTGAATTTTCACTAGCCATTAGGCTACTCCAGTCTTCAGTGTCACATGAGTAATTTATTCTTACCAGTGTCATTTTTTGTAAAAACTAAAAAATTAAAATCCAAAAACTTTTAGCTTTTTTGCTAAAAGTTTAAAAAAAAACATTTAAATGCACATGCACAGCCCTGTCACTGCATAATTTCCCCCTTATTAGAAAACATGGAAAATTGTTAAAATAGTGACACCCAGGAAGTATTTCCAGGAAGTATCACCCAGGCTCATTCCATTTTCTCAAATTGTACAGAAATTGAAAGCTATGTTCAACCATGTTACCACAGTTTAAAAAATATCAAACAAATATTTAATTAATGGGAAACAAATATTTATTATCTAATAATAGATTCTATAAATATAATATAATATATATATACACCTTGCTACGTGTACTGCGTTAGGCTAACCGAGACTTGTCATTTGCACTTATATATTGTTGCTCTTTTGTTAGTTTTGACTGCTTTTATTGTCCTCATTTGTAAGTCGCTTTGGATAAAAGCGTCTGCTAAATGACTAAATAAATAAAAATAAATAAATAAATAAATATTTATTTAATGTTTGGTGTTACAAAAACACATAAACCCGGGCTTTAAACATGTAGATATATCCCAGGTGTTGTTGCAATGTGAATAACATTGTCAATGTCAATGCTGCACAATGAATAGAAAATGAAGCAGCTTGTTTAATATTTATTTTGACCTCCTGAGGTTGACGATCAACATTTTCTGAAGGTTAAGCTCTGCCTTTCCTTGACACAAAAAATATTTGACTTCTTGTTTGTTTTGCAATTTCAAGTTATTTTGTAAAGTCCCTGGCATGTATTTCTAAACTGATGTTATCAAAGCATCTTTAGGGATTCTGATGTAACTTCTTTTAATGTTATTTTGTTATTCGTGTGGAGCTGGTGTGAGCACGTGTTGGTTCTGTGTTCGGCTGCTCCTCCTCCAGTCACTCCCCTCCTCATTCTGCTGGTGTGTATTTATAACTCTGTGATGAGGCGTTGAAAAGGGAGTTTTTCTTTTGGCCTGCTGAGACTGAGCGCAGGGGAGATGGCTAGCTGGGTATTTATAGGGTATCTTTCCAGGCCTGCTGATATATGCTCGTGACTCGGCAGAGGCTATACTAAAAGGGCATTAACTGATGATGGACCCTTAGAGAATCAAGACAAACTCACAAAAAAAAAAAAAAGAATGATGTGATATACTGCTGTGGATCAATATATTACCCTTGACTTTGATTCCACAAAGGTCACACATGCATTAGCAACAACTAGAAGTAATGTAAGATGCTTTTTAATGCCAAACTCAACATTTCTACAATAGTTTCCAATGTGGAAGACCTGTTTGAGTGTGTAACCTACATCAAAATTATATTTTTATATAAGTTACACTCCATTTTAAGGTGTCCTTGTTACAGTGTAGTTATCCATTTAAGTACTGAGTAATATTAATTAACTACATGTACTTACTATATGGTTAGGGTTAGGATTAGGGTTTGGCTTAGGGTTACTTGCATGTAATTATGCATAATTTATTGTTATTACAATAGTAAGTACATGTAACATGTGTAACAAGGACACTTTAAAATAAAGCGTTACCGATCTTTATACTGTAGTCCCAAATGTAGCTATTTGAACACTTAAACTACATTTAAAAATATCAAATAAAATTACAAAAATATCAAACCAAGTGGCATTCATTTTAAAGAAAGATAGCACACTCACACTTTTCAAGCAAAATATTACACAAAATAAGTAGCTTACTATTCATGATTCAGTCAAAACTCTTTGTCTAAAATTTAGACAGTCTTTGGTTGTCAAATCTGTTCATCAATAAATATGATAAACTACACCTGTGTGAACAATCACTAAAATGACCTTAGGCCCAAATGAGAGGAATTTCTAAAAAAGAAATTGAAAAAAATAATAATAAAGTGTGCCACTTGTTTGAAATGCTGTTGTCTAATGACATTTAAGCATTTTAAGTGTCCAAATACTTTCTGTATTATTATCAATTTCTTTATTGTATTTTTAATCAATTTGATCATCTTGCTGACCCCAAACTTTTTGAATGATAATATATGTATACATTTTGTAATCTGAATACTTTTAACTGCATCTCATATTTGACATTTATCCAGGAAGTAGTTTTATTTGGCCCCTTTCTATAGCCAAGCTCATTCTATTTTCTCAAATTTTACAGAAAAATAAGGTTTTGTTCATCAAATGTTACCAAAATGTATATATATATTTTAAATTTTATGAGAAATAGTTGCTCATTACATATAATCTAATCTATATATTATGTGAAATCACAGCAGAAACGTCATGGTTATGCTTAAATTTGTCAATGTCAGTTTAATGATGAACCCATTATAGTAGTTCCACTAGGTGGAAATGTCTAGTACATATGGGTGCATTCTGAAGAAACCAGCAAATGACAGAAGAAAGAAGATATAAACCCATATGATGACATACTAATGATATGATTTTACTGGATTTTATTAGAAATCTGATGTTGTAAAACATGCTTACTATTTTCATAGTTCCATCAGTATTTGTGCTAAAATGTTATAATGGACAAATGATCATTATATTGGCATACTGATTTCCATTGGTTTGCCGATACTGCAAATGCAAGCTGCTAAGTAACAGATAAGAAGACATGGCAATGCATGATGGGGATTACATCAACTCAAAAACGCTTACTTATCATCTCTAAACTCAGCTTCGGAATGTCACAGAAGAAGATTCAGACAACATATGCAAGTTGTGTACCCTGTTTCCATGGGGTTCAAAACTTTGCCTCTATGAGGGAGAAATGGAAGCCCTGTGGGGGATGGGCACCCTTAACATGAGCCACGGCTGAGGTTCTTGAACAAACATACCCATAAATATAGCCCCATGAAGATGAAAGAATAGACAAAGGCTGTACGATTGTACATGTTTTAGTAGTTTTCTCCTCAAGCCACTCACCTTTGAGAGCAGCAGAACCAGAAAGGCCCCGCCTCCACTGGACTCCACTATAACTGCCAGAAACTTTGGGTTAACTGCACAGAAGGAACTGTCCCATGTCACTTTGGAAACCCGGATATCATCATAAGTTTGATCCGTTTTCACCGCTTGCCCAAAAACATGCCGGAATTTACTCTGGCGCACAATGCTGCGACTCATGGCTGTGAAAAACAGAGACACATATTGAATGTGTATATAATAGCCTAAATAACACATAATATTTAAGAATTATTTGGTGTACACTCCGTGGAAAAGCTGCTTAGTAATCCCTATCAAACTGTTAAATGTATATTAAATGAAATGTATATTTGATTGCAGCTGGCTTAATAATGTATAATTCAATTGTAATTATCGATCATTTATTAAAAAACATATTTGTTAATGACATTGACAGTAAAATATTGCTTTGCTTTATTAATGTCAGTTAGATATATTATTTTCTGGTATTTATTACTCCTTAAATAATGGCCTGTTTAAAGTTTTAAATATAGCCTCTTCATATTAAGTTACATTAATACACCTCACTATACATATTATGCATATTGTAATAAATATTAATAATGGAAATCATAATTTGAAAATAATGATGAGGAAATATTATGGTGACAGGTATAAACATATTAATGTACATTGTAGAGTAATTATTTCCTTTTAAAATCCTTGTATTTTCCAAGTTGTAGAGAGAATTATTTGTGGAAGCAACAGATGATTGACATAAACAAACAGACACACAATCTGCATCATCAACACAAAAGCACCCTAAATAGCTCCTATTGAACAATAGAGAACACAAGCCATGGCTATTAGGCAAAAGCTTAAAAACATTTAGCAGATCAGGAGAACTGTAACTCGGACTGAATGATAACACTGTCAGTTTAACCAATTAGAAATGAGCCACAGGGTTGAAATCACTATCATACGTGAGCACCACCTTTCTAATGTGACAGCAGAAGTTAATATAAAGGTCAAAAAACAATGCTGAGCTAAGAAAGTAAAAGTTAACTTATAATATGATTTGCAATCATGTTAATTAGTCACCCAAGTATGAGAGGTCTTTGATAAAATTGTTACATGGGAAACTATTACATGCAAATTTTCCTTAAAATACGTTTCAAGACAAATTCTACATATATAGACGCTGACATAACAGAACATTGCTATGCAACAAGAACAATGAAAACATTATTGGTGCTGCGCAGTGATACAGCGAACTGGTGTTTCAAGTTGGAGCTGTCACTATATCACAAATTTAAGGACCAGAAATATCCATTTTTAATTAATGTTAATTAGAACTGGTATCATCTGATTCAGCCAGTTTTTGTTTAATTTGATATGTAACATTCACAGATGTCTTTGATGTACATGTTAAAGTATCATGATCAGACATGTATTGCTTGTTTTTAAAGCTTTTAGTGTATATTTATTTATTTATTTATTTTTACATATTTCTATGTTTGTTTCCAATTTTGGCTGTTTTTAATTCAAATGTTTCCAATTTGTTTATCATTTTGGGGACATAATAATTATGTTGAACAAGCATGTTTGACTCGTGTACTCAATTTAAAACATCCATACTTTCTATTAGTGTTACAATCCACCCTGGTAGTGAAATAAATTGTAACAACAATGTTCTTTGTACTTGTCTCTGATTTATACATGCACAAGTTGTAGAATTTTAACTAATTCATAGCAGATGAAAATGTTAATATATAGTCTGAGACACATACATTCTGGATCCCCACTGCACAAATTTGTGAAATCACAATTAACAGTTATTATTCATTTTAAACTGAAAAAACGCAATCGAAACTGATACTAAACCACATGGGTAGAGCTGTTAAATCCCCTTCAGAATGCAGTATCTTCAAACCACACAACAGTTTGTCCCATGTGAGAAGGCCCCCCTCACTGTCTTCAGACACGGTCACTTTCCTAATATAGTCATACCAAACTGCCCATGTGTCTCCCCCTCTGTCCCCTCCAGACATGATCCTTCCATATACAAAGGGACAGAATGAAAATATACATTGCCAAAGAATACAGCGTGTGCTATTCTTCTCAATAAACTGACCGCATACCTGGCCTTGAATTATAGATATTCCTACAGCAACTCAATGAACGAGCAGAACGTGCTGCACTGATACGTTTTGATGATGTCACAGCCTGTTCGTAACAATATTATCACAACAGAACTTTACAAAAACTAAGCGCGTGTCGTCACAATGCAGCATTCTATCACGAGGAACTGCGTAACTGTCAATCAAATGAATCACTTACCGCTGTCTTTGGGGAATATACGTCTTTAAATCTGCTCTTCCCCTCTCTCAAGACGGTTTAAGGCTCCTCTCGACGCTGCGCTTTTTTAGAAGTGTCTCGTTTATTCCAGGTCACAAACTTGGTGCGGACTCGCAGAACTAGCGCGAGTTCCTCCTCACTAGTCGTTCCTGAACATCGAGTGAGAAGAGAGAGAGAAAACGGTGGACTGGGGGGCTGGAGAAGTGCACAGACAGGGGTGTATATGTATGGCAAGCGATTTTAACAATTAGCCCTTAAAAATAAGTAGGCTACTACCTAACATACATAGGCTACTAGTAAGTAGTCCAATAGTGTGTAGCATCTGTCTTTAAATGTACAATATTTATTTGATTAGATTAAATCCTATAACTTATTCCAGTAGTAGCCTACATATTATATACTAGTACTTATTCCTTGTCTTCTAATACATATTTAGTACTGTGTGATATAAATGCTAGTAATTATTTGAAAATTACAGTATCTAAATCAATAGTTAGTGAAGCGGTTACTTTTGCTATAACTGCTAGGAAACAAAGAGCAAGACAAACAACACAATGTTACAATAAAATTAAATGTATTATATGCGTCTTTTATACCACAATATGTTTGCTGTATATGCAAGTTCATATACTTGTTTCTCTCCGAAAAACAATGTTACAGCTAGTTATTCTATTTTGCAATTTGCATTCTGTGTTGGAATGTTTGTTTTTGTTTTGGTCTGTGTGATTTAGCACACTGACATTTTACCCAATAGCATTTCAACACACCAGGTTGCCAGTTGGTGGAAAACACAGCGTATTGCAGCCATGGAACCCAGCAAACCAACTAGGTCAAAGATAGCAGATTCTACCTGACCCAAAAAGCCTCGACATCCATCTAAAAAAAAAAGCTCTAAAAAGCTTGATGATGAGAGGAATAATAAAACACGGATAAAAGTTTTTTTTTTAAAGAAAACAAGCAGTAAATGAACAGAGTGCAAGTCTAAAAGGGACTTTTAAGTTTTTTTTAAAAGAATAGAATTATAATAGAGCTGCAGGACCGGGCAGTTTTATCAATATGGTCTAAGAAAGTCAGCTGATCATCAATATAACTCCAAGGTTTCTGGCTGTTTTTGAAGGAGTTATGGTTGATCTGGATGGTGAAATTGTGATGAAACGATAAGAGAAGAGAAGTGGTCCAAGAACTGAGCCCTGAGGCACCCCAGTAGTTAGATGTTGCGACTTGGACACCTCACCTCTCCAAGATACCTTGAAGGACCTATCTGAGAGGTCAGACTCAAACCACTGGAGTGCGGTTCCTGAGATGCCCTTTACCAATAGGGTTGACTGGAGGATCTGGTGGTTAACCGTGTCAAAAGCAGCAAAAGGCAGAGACTTGGTTGATCACAGCTCGTTCAAGTGTTTTTGCAATGAAAGGAAGAAGGAAAACCGGTCTGTAGTTCTCTAAAAGAGATGGGTTAAGGAGGCTAACATGACCTAAGGATGGAGGTCAGGATAAACAATATTTTGAATTTGGACTGCAGTACCCATGTCAGCCGCTAGCTGTCAATATTATACTGCACCTTTAATACTAAAGTCATCCAGTTTTGTTTTCAACAACTTTGAAGCAAAATAGCATTTGCTTTTGCAGGAAATTAAGAAAGCAAGTCTGTGGTGTGATACAAAAGACATGAAAAAAGCACCTGCTTTATGTAGCCTACAGAAAATAGCAGATCTTGGGATGTTATAACAGACCAATCAGAATCAAGTATACCAGAGAACCGTATAATACTGTACTTTAATATATACTAATCACTATAGGATTACTAACTAGAAATTCAAATTAATGTTAAATCATAATGTTAAATGTGAAATTGGCTTGCCATAGTGTATGGGTAGGGGGGTCAAGACGGTCTGGTCTATTTTCGAAATGGCTGTCGGTGTTGGACTATTTCTCTCGGGCCGGTGACAGGGCTATAGATTGCAGTGAGAGCACACACTGAGGTCAGGTGGCTGTGAGCACACAGCGTAAACCCCTGCATTTCACACCCTTGATTTAAGTATAAATCAGTTGCATGGATGTTTAAAATATACAATCAATCCTACAGATAGTCAGGCGATACCTTTGCTATAGTCCCCCTGCCATTTGTTGATGCCTCCTGAAGTTAGTTTGTTGTAACTTTCTTGCATTACAGTACACTGTAAAAGTTTTGTCAGGTTTAAGTTAAATTAAAGCTGCAAACAGCGATGAAAGGGCCCTCGCACCCGGGCCCACCGCCACCCGGTGGCTTTAGGAGAACAACTAACGTTGGGCAATATGCATTTTAAAGGGATAAATATAGGAGGAATATGTAATAAGTATGTGGCAAACTTCCTACTGCCAGCTGGTGGCGCTATGACTGTAACTCAATGTTGGCATGTAGATGTCTTCAGACCAGGACTTTTATCAAATCTGTGAAATTTGGTGCAGATTGAACATAGTATGTTTGAGTTAGTGTAAAACATGAAATGTGCAGTTGCCAACAGGTGGTGCTATAAATCATAACTAAATATTGGCATGTAAATGTTTTCAGGCCAGGGCTCTTACCAAACTTGTGAAGTTAGGGGCAGATCGGACATTGCATGTTTAAGTTAGTGTAAAACAAGTAATTTCCTGTTGCCAGCAGGTGGCAGTATGATTATAACTGAATATTGGCCTTAAGATGTGTTAAGGCCAGGACTCTTATCAAACATGTGAAGTTTAGGGCAGATCAGACGTTGGCCGTTTCTCAGTATGCGTTCTTGTCTGTACTTGTGTTCTTGTGAAACGTCATCAGTCGTCGCCCAAGTACTGTTCCAATTGTTCACATCTAGCCAAGTACAGTTTAAATCCCCGGATGTGTTCTTGCTCCGGCCCTTTTATCAAAGATGCATCCAGAGGTGACTTGTGCGAACTTGAGACAGCCAGCTATCCCAGAATGCATTTCGCACCAACCAGCGAGCGTTAATGGCGGAGAAAACCTGCATAATTTTCAAAATATTACTGTTATTGTGCCATGAAATACTGTTCTAAGAGTATTTCAGGCGAGAACGTAGTTGTTTAAAACTCAAATCTGTGGTTTATTTATAAAGATAGAACCTATTTGAAAATGTGCTTCGCCGATTTCGGAGACATGAACTCCAGGCGATCACCGGGCGCTCAGTGCTCATGTATCCCACTGCGAGCAGCCTCAACTGATATTTCATTGTCCTTCTGACATTTGCCGCTGGCTCGGCTGTCTCTGTAGTGGTTAAACATGAGGTAAAATTCGTTTTGGGTAAATCGAACATTAACAGGCAATCTCTTTGGTCTCATTAATCTATTGTTTCTTCCAGGTCATATCGTTTTGGCTGAGCACAAAGTTATGTTTCATAAATTATTTATTTATTAATTGTAATACAGCACTGACTGTTGCATACATATTTGACTGAATTGTTTGCTTTTGTCTTTATTTCCTATTACATAAGTCACTTATACTTTATACTTTTATAATGGCTATTATTGTTCATTAAAACTGACATTTAACAAAAAAGGCAGAGTTGTGCTTGTCATATTTCATTTTATTATACATAACATTACAGTGAAGATAATCAGAGTATATGTGCACATATTACTTAAACCACATATTAATATGTTTTATATTTTTAAAATGAAAACGAAAAGGGGTGTGTTTTATATTTTGAAGAAAACTAAAAGGCAGTGGTGTTTGATATTTCGTTTTATTGTAATGCGTGTACACGTTGCATGAACCACATTTTTGTGGCTATTAATATTTTAAATGAAACAGAAAAGAGGCAATGCTGTTTGATATAATATTTAGTTTCACTGTAATGTACGTACATTCCCTGAACTACATTTTTGCGGCTATTAATATGTTTAAATGAAAAAGAAAAGAAGCAGTGGTCAGGGGCGGATTAAGGTGGTCAGGGGCCCCTAGGCTGCTCTTTGTGTGAGGCCCCCCCCTTAATCATTATGCTTTACTGGAGAAATGTATTTAGTGCCATACATTGTCCACACGCAAATAGTAAGGTGAACTGGCATACAAACACACATGAGACAGCCAATCCTACAGTGTTTCTTCTACATTCCCAGTATGCCCACAGGATTTTGTGAGACTGTGATGGGTGCACATTGGTTCCTCTAGTATAGGGGGTTCTGCGGGTATAAGAACATTTTGTTCATTTTAAATTTAAATGCATACATCTGGTGCATTTTGAGAGCAGAATGAAGTGACTAGATCAATTAAGAAATATGTGCTCTTTCTTAGTAGTAGTAATTTATTTATAGGTTGCATAGATGTGAATGTGATGGTAGGGAACAATTGACACTATATAAATTCTTATAAAAGCTACAAATGCCATTCTGTCAAGAGCAGGGAGTGATTTTTCTCCTTGTCTTTTGTTGTTTGATTATCATTAATGCCATCACTTAACTCAAGACACGAGACGAGACATAAGATTTTTACATATTTTTTAAAAAAGATTCTCAATGACCAAATACATGACTGGAAAAATTAATTTAAAGCTGCAGTCCGTAAGTTTTGCCTCTTTGTCGCCATCTCTGTTTGAAAACCTGGAATTGCAGCTCTGTGCGGAATTGTCTAGCTTGCGTGGGTTGTGAGTCGGCACGGCTCCTTATGTAGCCTAATTTGCGCGCATCAGGGAGTCGCTCTCAAAACGCGGGGTATTAAAATCGCTTTTGAATGCACGTGCGCGTTTTACTTTCGGATTCGATTTAACGATCGCGCGAACTCTCGGCGGTGCTGAGCGTGCATTCTACAATACAAGACATTAATTTTGTCAGAAGCTCTGCAACGAATCCTCCTTTGATGTTTCGTATAGGCCAATGAGGGTGTTTTTTGATCGGGCTGAAGAAATTTTAAATAAAAAAAAAATTGTCCGGCCAATCCGAGGCCCCTGCACACGTGGGGCCCCTAGGCTGCAGCCTAGCCAAGCCTGTGCGTTAATCCGCGCCTGGCAGTGGTGTTTGATATCATATTTCGTCATATTGTAAATACATACAGTGTAGATGCACTCCCGAGTCGAACTTGCGAAGTCCGAACTACCAAGGACGCAAGTCCGAACTTTGCATTCTTGGTATTGAGAAACGGCCATTGCATGTTTAAGTTAGTGTGAAAAAGTTATTTCCTGTTGCCAGCAGGTGGCGC